GTCCGCAATAGTAGAATGAAGGCGTATCATCAGAAGGTGAAATTCAGAATGGAGAAGTTAGAAAAAGTGAAAATTTTTTAGATTCCTAGAGATCATAACACCCACGCCGACGCATTGGCATGTCTGGCTTCAGCATTAGCCTTAGAGGTAACTCGGCGCATCATTATTGAAAACTGGAAAAGTCCGAGCATAGATGAAACGAAGGCTGAACAGGTGTTGCCAGCTCTAATGTAGGCACCTTTGGGATGGATAAACCCCATCATTGCATACCTAACAGAAGGAGTGTTCCCTAAAGATATCAAAGAGGCTAGGAAAATTAAGCTCAAAGCTCCTAGATTATGGATGTCAGTCANATGTAGGCACCTTTGGGATGGATAAACCCCATCATTGCATACCTAACAGAAGGAGTGCTCCCTAAAGATATCAAAGAGGCTAGGAAAATTAAGCTCAAAGCTCCTAGATTATGGATGTCAGTCGATCAGTAGTTATATAGGAATTTATTTTTGGGACCTTGGAGGCTATGCGTTACAAACAAGTCTGAGCCGGCCTCAACGTGGCAGGTGCAAAGGGCGGTGTCCCAAACTTCTTTGAAAGCCTTTTTCTTGGCCTCCTCAAAGGCGAGAACCATTTGGTCTTGGGTGGCTAACCACACCCTTTGACATTCTGATTGCAGCCTTTACTACTCCCCTGCCTTCTCTACTGTTAGGGAGTCCACCTTGGCAGTAAGTTCATTAATGATGGACTTGGACTCCTGCAACTTGACCTCAGCAGGGGAGACTCGCAGCTCATATTCTTCTACCTTCTTGATCACCGCAGCCTCACTCGCCTTCGCCTTTTTCCAGCTCGACATCGAGGGCATCTCGTTGGCGGATGAGCTCGGTGATATGCCAGGTCTGGTCACCGAGGGTCCTCTCTATCTTAAGGATATGCTCATCTTTAGCAGCCATCGCTTGCTTGGCGTCTCTCGCTGCTTGCTTGCATTCCCAAAAATGCTCGATGATGGCACCCACCTGCTGGTTGGCCTAAAAAGAGAAATGACTGTTAAATGGTGCTCATCAGAACACTCGAGAAAACGTCGCACTTAGCACCAAGTTGCTATGGATGGTGCTCATCAGAAGCCGGTTGTCTGTATAGCCTTTATACACAGCTATATCGGCTTCAAACTGGAAAGTCCTCGCGACCGCAAGGGCTATATCCTGGGACTGGAGGATGAAGTTGGCCTCTAAGATAGGACGGCCCCTTTTGGTTTCGACCTGGGGGGCCTATTCGACAGATATGGCCTGGCCCGGGGTGTCAAGCCGGCGCTTCACTTAACGCTCTTCTGACTCCTCGAATTTCCAGACACGTCAATCCCTTTGTCGATCTCCAGAATGGGGGACTTGGTGAGATAGGGGATGTTGCCTTGGTGGCCCGACCGGGTCCCTATATGGCTGAGGACGCAGCGGTGGTGGTTGTCGTCGGGGAGAGCTCGACGATGGAATGATTGGGGTCGTGTTAGAGGGCTCGGCCAACCCAGCGAGCCTGAATCTCCTAATTGCTACGGCGGCCTCTATGGTGGCAGCGGTGAGTTGAACATTTCTTCAGATGCGAGAGGCTTGGGAGGGGGGTGCTTAAACTTTTCTTTGGAATCTTTCCGACGAAGAATAGTCTTCCCAAAGAAAAGGGTTAAATGGAAGGGGGACCTGGGAGAATCTACTGTAAATCGGCACGTAGTCAAGCAGGGTATGCGCCGCTTGCTCAACGGGGTCATAGGACCAAACCCTTAAGAGGTCGACAAATCTGACTTGAGACCTCAAGGGTTGAGCGGTGTCCCGACGATATCCTTCTGCAAAAACAAATAGCTAGGTCAATTCTAATGATAACGAGATTAGTACAAGTCTAGAAAGGGAAAAAATACACCTTCATCTCTTGACATTTTAGGGCAGTCCAATCCGACATACTCGGGCCCCCGTTCCTTCTCCCAATTGCCGTCGAGCATGATCAGGTCATCTACATACCCATTGTCCGAGTCGGGCATGTGGGTTATCAGATACATTGAAGTATCTCGAGCTTGAAGGTAATATCTTCCCCCGGTAACTAACCTGAGGTCATAGCCAAAAAAAAATTCATCTACTCCTAGGTCTGTCCCCAGCCGAGCATTTAAGGCGACTACGCCTATCACAATCTTAAAAAAATTAACCACGCATTCAAGGGGAAAAAAATTCAGTTGCATTAGCATCTTCAGCAACAAGGGGTGGAGAGGGAAGGTTAAGCCCCTTTCAATGATGGCCTTGGTCTAAAAAGGCATCATGTCTGCACTTCTCATATCCCTCCTATGGTGGGTGGGGATTAAAAGGGAAGGCGAGGATAGGCTCAAGGATGTGGTATCTAACCCTAAAGGCTTGGATATTCTCGTCAGTCACTTGGGTCCTCCTCAACTTGGGGTTAGCCCTAGCCCTGACAGGTGCTTCCCCCTCTGGTTCTACTGGTTTTAGCCATTGGTGGGTTTTGAAAGGAAGAATGTAGAAGAAATGAGAAAGAAGCTTGAGAAGGATTATTTACTGGACGACAGTCTTCGAAGAGGGAACTCGGAGAGGGACAGAGGGAACTCGGATGAGAATAGAGGAATGCTTGGGGGCTAATTGCTGAAGGGAAGCTGAGGATGCAAAAGTTCTGAGAAGACATGAANCTTGAGAAGGATTATTTACTGGACGACAGTCTTCGAAGAGGGAACTCGGAGAGGGACGGAGGGAACTTGGATGAGAATAGAGGAATGCTTGGGGGCTAATTGCTGAAGGGAAGCTGAGGATGCAAAAGTTCTGAGAAGACATGAGCACCTCCTATTTATACTACTTTACAAGGGGTGGAAATCGAAAAGTTGAGCCATCATTAGGGGATTTGAAAGGGCGGCGCCAGACGTGTAAGTAACCGTCGCTATTAATGAGGCGTGCTTATTGAGTCTCCAATCTTTTTATGCCACTTGTCTCACGCTGCAAAAAGAATAGAGGCTGGGGGGTAGTTGACGGGACTCTAGGTGGCTCTACAGCTNCCAGACGTGTAAGTAACCGTCGCTATTAATGAGGCGTGCTTATTGAGTCTCCAATCTCTTTATGCCACTTGTCTCACGCTGCAAAAAGAATAGAGGCTGGGGGGTAGTTGACGGGACTCTAGGTGGCTCTACAGCCCCCAGATTGACACGTGGAATGATGAAGCCGTTATGATGTCTAAAAGACGCTGAGGAGATAAGTCGATGTATGGTGTTCTGGAGGAGCCGAGTACGACAACTGACACCATATTTAATACGATGCGACCTCTCAGTTATGACGGAATGAGTGATGGTGACAAGATTATTAAATGTGTGCCTATGAGCGCCTGCACTCTAAGAGTCTAGGCCTACCATCATAATGACTAAGCATTGATAACTACTACACCGAGTATATACGATCGATTCTCCCCGAGGAATCATTCCTCCTGGTATTCAATGCTCAGTTGTGGGTGTCAGACGCCGATCTGAGGGAAGTGGATGCTTGGAGAAGGGCATAAATGCTCGGCATGGTGCCGAACACTCGTTCTATCATCCTAGTATTAAGTAGGAGAAGACTTGAGTGGAGAACACTCATTGCACGAGGTGTGGCATGTCAGACATTAAAATGTCCTGATGGGACTGGAGGTCTTTGGCAATTATTGTCAATTCAGGTATAAATACTTTTTAGAAAAATGAACAAAGGTACTCAAGATTGAACCAGAGATAAAAGATTATTCATTGAGCTTGAACCTCGAATCTTGAGACTGACTTAAGCTTCAGATGGGATAAGTCAGGTGTTCATCTGACCCCCATTTTTCTGATCCTGTAATTGTTTTAGATTCATCAGGTTGGAGGTCTCTATCTCAAACTATTGCAGAAATTATCTCGTGTAGTAACCCTCTAGGTAAGATATTATAAAGAGAGAATGTAACAATTACTCAATTTTTTAAATGAAAATTTTGATTTTATATCGAAAATCCATTGCTCAAATACAAATTTTTATTTAGAATCTTTATAAAATTCTCATATTCTTCCAAGACCTTTTTTTTTTTTAATTTTCATCAATTTTGTTTGGCTCTTTTCTATTCTCTAGCTCTTTTCTTCTCAAAACTTTTCATTTTAATTATCCCTTTACTCTCAAATTATTTCTCCTATTTCAATCACAATTTTAATTAATTTTAAATTAAAATTCAACTAATATTTTCTACAAATGAACCCATATTAATTAATTTTTATCTTGTTATATTGTAGGAGTATGACAAGCGGATTTGATCATGAATATTGGAGTAATACGATGTGATCTCGAGAGAGGGTGAATAGTTCTAATCTAATGCATATAATTACAAATAAAACCCCTAAGTGATGTAGACCTTTGATGATTTAATGGGTGAATATGTATGTTAATTTTATGAAGTTTAGTTCAACACAATTCACGATAACTAACAATATAGGTTTTTTACAAAATTTTTTATTACAAATGATGTGGTACAATTTTTACCCTCAAATAAGTTAGTCTTAATAATATTTAATAATAAAAATTATGTCACATCACTTAAAATAAAAAATTTAATAAAACNAACAATATAGGTTTTTTACAAAATTTTTTATTACAAATGATGTGGTACAATTTTTACTCTCAAATAAGTTAGTCTTAATAATATTTAATAATAAAAATTATGTCACATCACTTAAAATAAAAAATTTAATAAAAAAATTGATAAGCATATCATTATCGATTAAGTTTTAAGTAATTTGATTTGCCCAACCAAAACATAGAAGATTTAACCATTCACCCAATCATAGATGGTTTTTATGGCCGGGGCCCACATTAAAATGTAAAATCCGGGAAGTACTTAATGACGTGGAAATAAGTGGTGACGCTATTTGCGTAGGCTCATCAGATACACAAGTCAAGCGCGAGCATTTCGTGAGCGGGAACGTGGAAGTACGCGGAAGGGGCATGGCATGCCACGTCGGAGTTCGTTTATCAGAGAAACGCCACCGAAAAGGCGCACCAAAATTTTTCCGCCACCAGAATCGCTGGCCTGTCTTAATCCTCATCGATCATGTCAGACGATCGATGAGGTTCAAAGCTAAAACACTCTGAATAATCTTTCATAGTATTCTGTTCGTTGGAGAGTTCAACTTCAACCAGGAGAAACTTGCTCGTATTCATTTGGGAGACTGGAAATTGTAAAAGACGAGATGGCATTCTTGCGTGTGCATTGGGGCCATAATAATGGACACTCAACGATCTCACCATTTCCGAAGTCAGAGGAACAGCACGGTTGTTTGAGTCGGATTCATTCTATTCCAAAACAAGCGATCAACCACAAGAAGTACTTTATGGATCCCAAGTCGCAGCTGCAGATGGCTCAATCCCGCGGTCTGGGTGTTTGTGGTAACGGTAACGATAATCGCATGACTACGGCGGCCTCAAACTTTTCTGAATGTGGCCGTCGTCTGCTCCATTCTGATTCCGCCTTCAATGGTTGGAGAGAAATAAGCAAAATCCATCCAAAGAAAAGGATTGTTGACAAGGACGATGACGTTGCTGAAAAACTCGATCAGTGGGTGAGAGATTCCGTTGCGGAGGTAAGTTTCAATTTGTCTCTATTCAAGCATTGACATTAATTTTAACAATTACAACTGCTATTATAGAAAGATAATATTTTGAGCTATAACTGCAATTAGAAAGTAGTCATTACTTTAAAATTCGATTAGCTTCTTGAACTGTTGGATAGTTTTGAAGCGATTGCAAAAGATAATTAATTAATCAGATAAAAAACATGTAGGAATCTGGGGGAAACTTTAGAGGTAAAAAGTAAGATTAATTCCAAGTGGAATAAGACGTCCAATGAAAACAAATCTTTAAAGTCAGATAAAAATAAAAAGAAAAAAAATGCATAGAGCAGACAATCCCTATTGGTATTGGAAGAGGTTTATGTCCTACTAGTGCATTGCATATAAATGTGTGAAATTTATTTCTTTTTCTTTGGGCCATGTACTTGTAGATAGTGAGTAACATTGGGGAAGCACCTTTCCTGGTGCACATCTACTGTGATGAGAAGGAGGAATCTTCATCAATTAGCAGAATCAGATTGGTGAGAGAGAAGGCTGCCGCAGAGAGCTGGCCCCTAATAAGAGGAAGATGGGAGGGAGGGAGGTCCATCCCAAATGGAGTTATTTTGGTGGAAGAACTGAATAGCAACGAACTCTCAGTCTCGGATGAAGAAGCATTCAAAAATTCAGGTGTCGACAGCAAGCTGTATTCTACAACCAAAGTGTGGGGGGTGCTTATTCAAGGTAGAGGAGGAGCTAACTGCACTGCTTGCTATATCCTCAAGACTTGTCGAGTTCAGTCATTGTCTGGATTCTGCACTCACTTTTGTTTAGTTAGGGTGGAGTGCTTTGTGGAAAGTGCAGATATTCAACTTAAAAAATTGTGGTTGCAGACGTAGTTAATCTATGTATATCTTACTCGCTATGTAACTGTTCCATTTTTTTTTGAAATAATGACATCCTATGTAAAGCTTTTAATCAAAACAAAAGCGCAACGAGCGTTGTCCAACTTTTGTAAAGCGTCGTGCATATTCCTTCCTATAATAAACCAAGTGTTTGGTTTTGGTACTGGAACGTCCATTGGTGAGGTTTCAAAATTGGGGACCAGGAAGGTGATGCTTGCAAACTTAAATTTTAGTGAACCCACAAACAAACTGCATGACCCTATATATAAAGGCCTTGATTCATTGAAAATCTTTTTTATATCCATGGCCCAATCTGGTGCGGAGCCAGGTATCTAAGTTTTTTTTTTTTTTTTTTTTTTGAGGGGGAGGGGGGGGAATACTAATAAAAATTTTTATCAACTGTTACAATAAAAATTTAGGTCCAACAAAATATATCAAGATTTAAGACTAAATTGCTATATATATATGAAATTGTAAAATCAAATTCTTTTTGTTTCTAAACAAAATCGATACAAAAAAAATTTCAGAAGGTATTTGGATCCAATCATTTATGAAAGTGGAGCACAATATTCTTTAAAATCTTACCCACAAGTCCATGACAAAATTTTTTCTCATTTCTTTCCGATACTTAGTTGAGATCTTCCTCCGTCTTGTTAAATATTGCCAAAATATCTTCCATGACTTTCCGCTGATTAATTGATGCAAAATCTCCAAGTGCATATATGTTGTCGCATCCTTCAACTCGCAGCCATGCATCAGTTGCTAATGAGGGGGTAATTACTGTTTTCCTCATCTCATGGCATTCTTTTGCTCTTGAAATTCTTGTTGTTTAGTTAACTGCTATAGTTTTGGGTACTAGTAGCTGTAGAGCCCCCTCCATCTTATTCTTGTAACCCTTCCCCCCCACCTACCCTCTAGAACCCACCGCATCATAACTATTTACTCACCCAAAGAATATATATATATTTTTCGCATTGATTTCATAGTTCATTCACCGGTGTCAATGGGTTTGTGTATGTGTGTGAGGGAGAGATGCAGAAAAAAAAAAGGCAAAGAAAAAGGCGCAAACAGAGGGGAAGGAAAATACAAAAGAAAAGGGGTATTTTAGGCATTAAACGTAAGTTTTTTTAGGACAGAAATAAAATAAGACAATGCCCACTACACGTTTTAAACCAATGAACCACATCATTTATTAACTTTAAAAGTGACAAAACTAACGGTTTCACTTAGATATCAGACCACATGGAGAGTTTGTGCATAACTAACCTTTTTCTTCTCTTACGTTTCCCGCCCATTTTCTTTCTCATCTTATAGGCATTGGAAAATACTGCAATAGCAATCTTTCCGGACAAAACTAAGGATGATAAAATAGGGAAAAAAGAGGAGCCCCTCCGCGGGGGGAACCTCAACTACCATGTCCCCTACCTCGATAGTTATATTTTCCTTACTAATTATCACATTTTCTTTATGTCAGAAATTGTTGGAATCGAGCTTCAACAGTAGAACATAAACAAAAAACCAAAAAAAGGCTGTTCATACAACAATGAATAATGCAAAACAAATAATATTATTTGTTAGAGTAATGCTATAGGGACCTAATTTAAGGACTTAATGATGTAACTATTAAATTAATTGTGAGTTCCTTTGTTATTGGCTATGGCAGAACAAATTGCTGAGAACGATCAAAATCTTCTGTGTCTTTCTAGAGTGTTGAAATCATACGATCCTGAAGGGTATCAACTATATTTACTCAAAATAGTAGAGTGATGCCAGACAAATAATGGTGTCGGTTAAAATAAGGCCCACCACGTCAAAAACAAATTTTGGAGCAAATAATCCCCATACCTGCATGGAAATTAAGCCATAGACAACCGTTAATTGATTTGCCAAGTGCGCACAGTTTGATCCAGATAACTCATAAGTTGATGGGACAATACCATCAAATGCCGCCTTTGAATTGTGACACACAGAATCGTGAACGTTNCCGTTAATTGATTTGCCAAGTGCGCACAGTTTGATCCAGATAACTCATAAGTTGATGTGACAATACCATCAAATGCCGCCTTTGAATTGTGACACACAGAATCGTGAACGTAACTGTTGTGGCCATGATGAATCCAAAGATCAAATAAACCTGAAGGTTGAGAGGAGATCAATGAACCACAACCAAAATCAGCTGACTGCAGAACATCTTTAGTTTACTGAACCATAAGTGTTCATTCAACTATAAATAAACCTCTCCAAGTTACAAACTTACTATAAATAAGTGCATTAAGATGAGTTTTTTTCTGTTCTCAGCCTGCCCACATGAATATTGGCATGCAACAAGAAATGGAAGCCCCAAAATAGGAAGGATGTGGGAAAAACCAAATGTTTCAATACTAAGGAGGGCAGCCTGGCGAATAAGGTTGAATTCATCAAACCTGAAAAGCAACACCGTCAAAAATCAGTCCTCAATAGGTTTAAGCATACAGTAATAAAAACTTTTTCCTTCTCCAGTACGCTTTTCTGTTTTATTTGGCAGCAGCTTGTGTCCTCACCCAATAAATGCAGCAGCATATCGAAGACCATCAAAAGCACACCTGCAGAAGAAGTATTTGTTGACAACACATTGAAGCCTATTAGGAAACATAGATAGAACAACAGGTTACAGTGTGTGGAGCACTAGAAACCAACAAATTTATTATGGAACCAAGTATGAACAATGGCCTTGACCAAATCGCCAGGAACACAGTGGAGTAGCAAAATTGGAATTCAATATTGATACGGTCAACCAGCAAACATGAAAAACACAAGTGGATTGCCAGCATCTTACCAGTGTCCAGTGCAGAAAAACAAACACACAGCTAAAAGGCTCCATTGTGCTACAGGTGAAGAGTAGAAGTTTGAAAGTCCAGCATTCCCATTCTTGGCATGGTGTTCCAAATTCTTCAACCTCAATATACACCAACCTATAGAAAGAGATTCACATACGTCACCAAATCAAGAATGCAACATTTCAATGAAACAAAACCAGCTGCAAAGAAGACAAATGCATGTTGGGTAGACAATGTGAATGCAAACAGGAAACAGAAAATGCAGCTCAAATACATTACTCCCAAGATTAAAGCTACAACCAAGAAGAGTTACCTCCAATTACAGATGCTACAGCAATCAAGGCCCCTTGTTTTCCAGAGAGAATGATGACTGTTGAACTCCATGCAGACAACATTGCCACCGTCTTGATTACTATGTTTTCTTCCCAGTTGGATGTTTTCTTTCCATTAAAAAGTTGAGCTGCAGCTAGTGACGATAGCTGTAAAAAACCAACAGCATAGATAATTCGAGGGATAACATTTTTTCTGATACCTTCATAAACCATCGGTAGACTGAGTAGTTTACTTTCTAAGGCCCAGTACAATGCTATGAGTGCGTAACTAAATACAGTCCCTGTAATAACATATTTAAAAATCCCCTGACAGGATCTATGAGCAATGCTCTGGTAGAGTATGTATGCCAACAGGACCAGAGCCAGCATTGGCGCAATTGCAGCTATATACATCGCAACAGGCGAGTCCTCAGCAATTCCTTGCATCCATGAGGGATGTATCTTCAAGAACACAGAGATGACCGTCTGCTTTAATTGCCCAAGTTCAATAGTAAGTCTGAGGATAGGAATCAACAGAACAAGTGCCAATGCCTGCAAATACATCCCTGAACTATTAGCCCACAAAGAGAATTCCCTGATAATTCTTATTGCTATAAATAAAAGTTCATATATTCTACAACTTAATAATGACCAGAAAGATTATTAACAGAAGACAAGCAACTACATCCACAGTAAATACGTACTTCCAATAACATCTTCTTTGTCATTATCGAATAACGCAAGCAGAGCATCCCAGTTGTGGCCAAAAGAAAAATGGCCACTTTTCCTTCTTCCACTGTGCCCCATAAAAATAAAAAGTTCCACAAACAGCATCAGCTATGAAAAGGAAATGTGGATCCCTGAAGGTGTTAAGAATTAATCAATTAGCAACTCACAAATATAACTATTTGAAAGGACGCTACATGCGCGTATCAGCACTGCAATATGAGCGAAGATCGTCCCAAAGGAAATCATAGAATTGCCCTGGGAAGGAAAATAGAATGCACATAGCTGGTCCACCCTCTTCATCATAAGGAACTGGATGATAATTGAACTCAACATCATACAGAAACCAATGCCCATTGTCTTTAAATTAAACTCGGTCCATTTTGAGCGTGCTAGTTCTGCAACACTTGCCAAGAAATTCAAATATGCATCAATTTGCCTCTGAAGAGCAGCTAAGGATGGGTGACAGCTTTCGGTTTTACAAAGTACTACATCCTTCACAGTATGTGACCAATTCTCCTGTGCCTGAGCATACACATCTGATACATGCAACAGATCTTCAATTGAAAATCCAATCACTGATGAAGCTGAATATACATCAATGTATTTCTTCACCTACATAAGTAAATAGCACATGTCAGAGAAAAAGATGGTGACATAGAAACAGAAGTTGTTTTTGCATTCAATACAACCCGTTAATACTTCAAAATCCTTGTATCAGTCATAATTTTCTAGGGACATAATGGTCCAATGAATTGCTTTCAGAGCGATTATGCATTTGCAAGCTACCTACACATTTTGATTAACATGCATTCTTTGCCATAAATGAAAATCCTATAATATGAATGGGAGTGGTGTGGTGATGGGGAATGCAAAGGGGGTTGGATGAAACTTGGGATGAATATGAAATTTTAAAATTTAACTTTTAGTCATATTTTCTAATTCAGGATTTATTAGGTCCATTGCTTAATTTGGGAATTGATTTTTTTGTATAGTTTTTATGTGATTTCTGATTTCGTTCACTTAGGGGATTGCCTATTTATACAGGACATGTGCAAGAATGGTTCAATTTTGGTATGTTGAATGGAATCAATACTTGTAAATTCTCTATCTCGCTCGTATTCTTTTCTTTCCTTTTGTGCTCCTTCTCTTTTCCTCTCTTTTCTCTAATTCTTTCTCTCCTTCACCCTCTAAATGATACAAGTTCAGACCTATAGCGAAAACTCTAAATGAAAACAAAAATCCATCCGTTTTGCTTTTTGAGATTACTAATTAAACTTTTGCAAAGAAGTTTGGTAACATATTATCTTTAGCTTCACCTAGAAGAAAGAAAACTAACTATAACAGTGTTTATCTTGTTAAATTGCCATTTTCCAATTGAATCTAGAAGAATTTGTATAAGGATACGGGGATCATCAGTACCAAGCCTCCTACAGTCAGAAGTTGCACGTCCCTAAAAAAAATGGGTTGACAAACTTGATCACCCAAATTTGAAGCCACAATCAACCACGATTCAAAGTGTCACGGGGTAACTCTCATTGTTCAATTTTTTCCTGAAGGAAGTACCTGTGAAGGCGTTGCTTTAGCAACCAACCACTCAAACACGAAAGGGGCACACACACACAAATGCGACACACGATATACAAGGAAAATACTCCCCAACCTTATATTGATGCTCACACAAATACAATGAATCACAAATCCGGCTAAGGACTCTCTACCTTACAAATTTTCCTCGCATCCCCTATTTATACAGAGGATATGACCATTGACACCTCCAACTGCCTAGGGTTTACTTGCCCACTAACTAGTGAGTTGCATGGGTATGACAGTTTCTAGCAACAACTATCATGCCAGGCTATGTCTCTGTTTGACAGGTGGCTGGTGGTTCCTCTAATTCAGCACCTGGCTTAGTAATTGCCCTCAATTCCTTGCCCATGATCAGGTAATGCCCAATAAACACCCACAACTGCCTCCCATAATCAGGCCATGCACAACAACCGCTCTCAACCACTGGCTTCCTCGATTTAAAAGATGTCCACTCATGTCACTTCGAAAATAATTCTAAGAGCTCCGCAAAGGAGTGCCTGGCCCCTTAGCCTTGGCTCGTCCAAGCAAGGCATGGCCCTAGAATGCTTGCATGGGTAAGGCAATGCGGAAAGGGATCGTGAGATAGATGGCGAGACCAGACAAATCGTGGAGACCTGTAGCTATAAAAGGCCACACGGTTGAGGATGGCAACACATGGTGGGCTCGATTTAGACAATGTTGGTACATAGATTCGAAAGGCATGGCATGGGCTTGACCTAGCTTGGTTGATGGTTCGTGGGCAAAGCTGGCTGTTGATTTGTGGGCACATAACGCCTGGACTTTCGTTGAATGCCTTAGGTACATCACTTTACTTCAAAGTCATGGAGTGCCTTGGTGCACGGTCCCACTAAGACACGCCATTTCCATACCTAAGTCAATTAGCGTCCGACACAAAGAAACATCCACACAAATACAAGGTAATGGCCAAGATTCCTCCACAAATGACTTTAATTTTCCTCCTAATCTCGAGGCAAATCCTTAATAAACACGCTTGCAGGAGACAATCTATGAACTAGTGTTCCAAGATCTCTAATAATTTGTTTACCTCAAGCAAAATCATCCACAACTTTAGTAGACTTGGACGCAACCATGCAAAAGTTATTTTTGCCTCAAAGAAGATAAAAATGGCAAAGAAGCATCTAATAGTGACGACAATAATATGAATCAATGATTCTTTTGTAAAAAGCTCGTTTTAGAATTTAAAGTGTTCAGATATCCTATATCTCATGTTGAAAATATAATCTAAGCAAATCCATATATTTATGTATTCACATATCGCAGCTAAAAAGTTGCAGGCACTCATAAAGTAGTAATAAAAATTTGCACAAATGCCCTAGCTGATGCATGCACTCACGGGAGTATTGACTAATTATCTAAGTATTAGAATATAGGCGTTTTAGTATCATTCGTTTTTTCCAAGATACAAAACTACTAATAATGTTTTTGCATACAAACTTTTGTGCACAAAAACTCTATTAATTGAATCTGAATTCATCTGTTAAATGTAATTAACCATACTATGAGTTGAAGACACAAAGAAAGAGAATTGAAGCTTTGTTTCGATAACAAAATCATTTTTTGGTATGAATATAAGTAGGAATTTGTGTGCACTAACTTTCCTAGAATAAATGAATTGTAGTTAAAGATTGCAAGAGACTAAATCATGTTTAAACAAGAAAAATTTAGCAACGCAATCATTGTTGTAATTAGTTTTTGGAGTGTGCTACTCCTACTCATTTGGTTATTTGTTCATTTTATAACTTGTGAAAAAATATTTAGTAAACAATCAATACAAACAAATAGCTCTCAAATGCGACCTAAGAAAAATATATAGCTCATAACAATTAGGTGATAAACAATTCAGCGGTCAACCAATTTTGATTGTAAGACATCATCAAAAATATTTTATCAAGATATAGCACATTTTTTGAAACTAGCAATGCACCACGTGTGTTGCACGTGGAAATTTTTGTTACAATATTTAATAAAATACATAAAAATTTAAGGATTAATAGCATTTTTAATCCGTAAAAAATGTATTTTTTGTCAATTTGATCCTTAAAGTATTCAATTCATGTCATTTTAGTCCCTACGTAGACGAACTTTTAAATTTTTAACAGAATGATTACGTCANTCAATTTGATCCTTAAAGTATTCAATTCATGTCATTTTAGTCCCTACGTAGACGAACCTTTAAATTTTTAACAGAATGATTACGTCATAGGCACATGCTACCATCTAAAAAAATGACCCATGGTCATTTCCGTCAAAAAACTTGATGGATTGTCTAATTAAGAACCAAAATGACACGAATTGAATACTTTAGAGACCAAAGTGACACAGATTGAATGTTTTAGGGACTAAATTGATAAAATTGATATAATGAGAACTAAACTGGCAAAAATGCATACTTTAGAGACTAAAAGTGTTACTAACCCAAAATTTAATTATATAACTAAATTAGATATTATCTCATTTTTATCATACTTATATTGTTTGTATTGTGGATGAAAAAAAAAGGATACATACATTGATTTTTTGGCACCTTAGATAATATTATATAAATGAAGTTGTCGATGTGTATTAATATTGAGGTTTTGANAGATATTATCTCATTTTTATCATACTTATATTGTTTGTATTGTGGATGAAAAAAAAAAGATACATACATTGATTTTTTGGCACCTTAGATAATATTATATAAATGAAGTTATCGATGTGTATTAATATTGAGGTTTTGGAATTTTTTTTTATATATCCAGTTAAGAGTAAGATGACTATCAAAAAGGTTTATAAAGATTGAGGTTTACATGATATTCTAGATGTTAGTTTGTTATGCAAGTATAGAGGGACATAATGGTAATCTATATATTTAAATAAGGACATGTTAGTCATTATAGTTTCTTATGCTGGCAAAATAGTCAATTAAATTTATTTCATTTAATGTACTTTTATTAGTAGTATAGATTATATAACTATTTGATATAAAGTTGAGGGTTGTAAAGTTTTTTTTAAGAGCAACGGTATATGGACTTAATTCTAGGATTGAATTCATTGTAACCATGTTGAGTCCCACTTTCAATTCAACAGATATAAATGATTAGGTTACCAAATTTGGTCCCAATCAATTACAAATAATCCACTTGAAAGCTTAAAAATTTTGGTTGAGGGCCTCAAAGTCTTCTGCCTATTTTGGGGTTCCTAGGTAGTCATTTAGTTACCTAGGCCAAGAGTCGCTCTACCTGCACTAATTGGCACCAAACCATTTTATTAAGCTTTTGCAAACTGGTAGTGAAATTTTGCGTGCATAGACCAAAATAAATAAATACCTGCCAAGAATTGATGCAGAGAACATTGACATAATTTTGCATCCATTTCTCCAAACCAGATTGATTTTGGAAATCACCCACGTTAGAGCTCTCCAGATTCCATGTTTCACCGGCTAATGCGTACAATTCAGGATTAACACTCCCAATGCTGAAAAAAAAAGTCAAGCACACAAGTGTTGCTGCAAAAAGTGAAATTCTGTAAAAGTGGCAAAACAAAGCATAACAACATAGGGGCATGTTATTAGGCTAACAATCAACACAATTTTCAAACTAGATATGAAAATTTAAGTCCCGTATATTAATGAAAAATGCTGAATCCAAGACATTTCTTTTGAGTAGAAGCAAACTATGCAGAGAGAATTTAGGGCCATATATGTGACAGAAGTTTGGACATAGCTAATTCATGAAACCATCGAAGTAGTACTACATTGAGATAAACTAAGAGACAATAGACTTAAATGGTTTTAACATGTGTATAGGAGGTTTAATAATGCACTAGCGAGGAAGAGTGATTTAATACAAATTGATGGTAATGTGAGAGGTAGAAGTAAGTCAAACATAACTTCAAACTGAATAGTAAAAAAAGAAATGATAGCTTACAGTTTAACAGAAAATATGGCCCTTGATAGAGCACAATAGGGAAACAGGTTTCATGTAGCCAATCCGAAATAGTTGGGTTGGGATAGAGGCTTTGTTTAATTAAGTTGTATAAATCAAAAAAGTTAAACTGATCATATACAAATCACTTTCATGCATAAGTTGCCACATATAACCAGTGTTATCAAACTTGGCTTGGCTTCCCTGGTCAACCCTGGGTCGCAAATCAGACAGTGTAAGTAAATAACCTGATAAAACCCGTGAACACGGCGTGTTTTCAATAACCGGTGGATCAGTTGTGTTATATAATATATAAAAGAAAACACTTTCAACCCTAATCTATCCCTTGTTCTCTGCTCCACCTTGTCTGTATCATCTGCGACCGTCACCCACTATAGCCTCTCTGCAATACACATTAAACACCATAGAATCTCTATCCTCTCTTTCTAATAGACTCATCTCACCCACCTACCATAGAATTCTTAACTTAATCTTACCACCTCTCTCTCAAGGCAACCCAAAGACCATAGCCCAGATAAACTGACATGCACTTATGCTCTCTCACACACTCACACGTTCCAATGCACCCAATAGCAGTTAAAAGTACCCACCCCGCAGGGAACTGCCCCAACAAGTTGCATCCTCCCCACCCTCAACACTATATGATGCCGCTGCATCTTCTATTTCTCTCTCTATTTTCTCCAACTCTATTTCATTAAAAACACCACCTCAACAATTCCCCAACGCTTGCCCATAATTCACTACACCGAATCTCAATTCACAATACACACCCAAAATAGGAATTGGATTAACAAGTGAACAGAAGAAGAATCGCTAAAAAATGACCATCCATTAAATTAGAAAAATGAACTAATTCAACTATGATTAAGTCATAAAAAGGTATCCAATTCAATCATCCATAAAAATCACACACCACCACCACAATCACAGGTCTCTGGTATTCTGTTTTCTTTTTTCTGTTCCAATTGAATCACCCACAATTTGTCATCAATTTACTCACAAATCTACCTAAAAACCTGTCTTAATTTTCCAAAAAATCTACTCTAAAATTTACCATACAATTACTGAAAAATCTAGCCCAAACTGTTCACCAACGGCCTCAATTCCATTTCACTTTGACTCAGTGGTGGCACCGATTGAGGCCATTTCTAGGAGCTCTTTGCAGCATCAGAAGTTCTGGGTTTGATTAGTTGGAGTTGGGTTATAGTCGACATTGGTCACTAGTTATTTGCTCGATGATCTTGTTGCTCTGAATGCTCCATTTGCGCCACCATGATCAATGCAAAGTGATAGTAGACAAATGCAAGAAGAGAAAATGGATAGGGGGGACACCGGTGCAGAAGTCGGAGACAAGTGGATGTGTCCATGGTGGTGATAGCGTGTTTATGGGCATATAAAAACACACACTCACATAGAGGGAATGGGGGAGAGGGTGGCCAGAGAAAGTGGGTGGTGGTGGCTGGTGGCGAGTAAGGTCTGAGGAAAGAGAGATAATCGACCGGGATTGAAGGAGTATGCGTCTGTGCCTATTTATACATATAAAGGATGAAGAAGTAAAAATAAGTAGAAGTCAAAGGTAAAAAAGTGAAATAATAACATCTCTTAACGGCGTTATTGGACAAAGCCTGACAAGGAGAGTTAGTGTAATTTCAGATAATCAAAGGGGTGGTCCTGAAATTACACTAATCTACAGGCATTGTCATTGTAATTTACCCTTTTTGTTTAACATCATTGAATGTTGAATTCAGCTTGTGAAAGAGACATCGCTTTCATATAAAGGATGTTAGTTATACACATAAAGTATGTTAGTTACATGCATAAAAGATGCTAGTTCTATACATATTTTCATTTTTTAGCATAATTATTCAATCACGATTGAACTATTGTGACCTATTAACATGGACCCTTTGCCGAATTGATATCCGGGCCAGATTTAACAACCGTGCATATAATGCATAAAGACGGCGGAGTACTAGGTTATCCCCATTACTTCAATATCACAATATTGACCTTTAAGAAATTCTCGATGGATCAAATAAAATTTGGTCATATGTAAATATAACCAAATTTCATGTNTATCACAATATTGACCTTTAAGAAATTCTCGATGGATCAAATAAAATTTGGTCATATATAACTTTTTTACGAGTTCTTAAGGTAAATATAATTTCATGTGTAGAGCAGTGAAAACAATGTTAAAAAGATATGCAAGGATCAAATGGACAACAATATGCATCACACAATGTGCATAGTGGCAAGGGGTGTCAGTGGGAAGGAAGCTCACCAGGTATGGTAAATAGACTTCTTTTTTTTTTCCTGGAAGATAATAGAAATTTTGAAATCGTAGAAATTTAAAGATTTCATGAGTTCATAAAAAGTTTGATGCCCACCAATCAAGTTTATCCACCTAGAAAAGCTGATAACTTTCTCCTATGTTATACAAGAAGCAGGGAAAGGAAGGGAAAAGTTCAAATCAAATTTAAAGTGTAGTATTCTAGTGAGCCATACAGTTTTGAAGACAAAAAATGTTATGCAAACTTGAAGGAAAGTATCCAGATATAGGGGGAATAGCCCTTTTTGTTCCGAAGTAGCACTTTTCCTCTTTTTCTTTGATTAGTACAAAACGAGAAATAAATCTTCAAAAGGACCATTTCTATAGAGCTCCCAACTGTTTGCGATACTTCATCGCATATAACTGCCAGGGATACATTGAAGCCCCCAACTGGCACCAAACTGAAAAACTTATACAAAAGCTTTTACTTGCCATTCGTTATAGATCTTATAAAGTTATATGGATAAAGGACAATGCATGATTGTGCAGGAGCAAGCTAAACAAAAAAATCCATTCCACAACTTTTTGAAACATCAACTAAACAAAGAATAAAATCCAATCAAAAATAAACCAAGCTCTAAGATTCTTATTTCAACTTTAAAACACAGGATACCGATTTCTTGAAAAGACCCCTTTAATGATTTTCTTATATATCATAACAGTGGCATGAGCACGCAATTAGACACTTGTATATTTATCTCATTTCATGGCCATCCATCACAAAGACTATTTCAGGAGTCACTAGTGAACATCACTCCAAAAATTAAGTGAAAAAACAGTAATAAATATCACAGGTGACATTGAGACTTGTAAAGCAAGGTGTGTTTATCTTGAACAGGAGTGTTTCTACTAACTCAATAAGACACGTCATCATGAAACTTACATGGAAAGAAGTTTCATATAAGAACCGGTCAAAGAACTTATGGAAAGAAGCAATTATAAGGGATGTCTTAGACTAAGACACTTTAAAACACTTTTAAGAAAACCAACTTACATGTACCAAATAGATAAGAGAATAACACCATGAAACTTAAATAGTGATATGATTCTTACACTGCACCTTCCAAAAGGAAAGGGAAGACCTAACAATGCAGAGACCGTGACTGCGAAATCAAGCTGCAACCATTGACTTGACTAAGTGAACACCATTAGATATATATGTAATTCATGTTAACTGAAATTTCACCAAATCTAGAATCCAGGAAAAGAACAATCACCAACCTGCTGGATATAGCTAATGCACATCTTCCTTCCATCCTGGAATACAGACTATGAGTAACCATAAATAATTATGATAACAACACCATCACTAACAATATTTTTATTGAAAGGAAACTAACTTGAATCAAAACTCAAAATATTTTTATTAGGCTAACTTTGTTCTATGCAATCATTCTTTACTCCAACAATTGTGCAGGGCAATTTTTTTTCCATTGACATTTCATTAAGAAATAACAGAAACAAGGCATCTTGATGGGGACAAGCTTGCCATTTCAGTAATTTCTAAAGCCCTTTTGTACTCAATATTTTTCCTTTCATATCTACACTTGACATTTTCTGATTTTGCCTCTCCTGTTAAATTTGTTCTTCTAATTTGCGGCTTGGCGATGGACAAGCAAGATCATTGAGCAATTAACGTAGACACTTGATGACTTAAGGGGTTACAAGCTAGTTGATCTTTGGAACATAACTGCATTTCAAGCCCACTGTTTGAAGGTTGATTTACCAAAAAAAGGCAATTATAAGCTACAGTTTTTACTAAATTATCCAAGGTGATTGTTTTCTGATTCAGTTGAGTTTGGACTTCTGATGACTGTTTTGCCTCTTAGAGCTGTGAGGACTTTGTTCGAACTTCCAAAGAGGGTACCAGCAGGAAGTTGTTAAGCACAATGAGGTGAGATCTTTACTTCATCTTTATTTGGAACTTCATTCAGGTTTGTGACTTAATCCAAAAGATGTATGGAACGTTAGGACTTTCAATCAAGACAACTCTATCTCTTCTTTCCCCTTATTTCATGTCTCTATGACACATCTTGGCTTCCCAGGATGCCTTGGGGAGGAATCTAAATAACATTTGGAAGAGGGAGATAAGGTTGCTCTCCAATTAGAAATGGAGGGCTCAGGATTAGGAAGTTGAGGATATCCAATCAGGCTTTACAAAGGAATGCAGATGGGGTTGAGAGGGGTACAAGTTAATGGGGGACGAGGAATGTAGCTTTGGTTGGGAAATGGCTATGGCGGTTCCCTTTGGAGCAAGATTCATTTTGGCCTTATGTTATTAGGAGCAAGTATGACTTACAACTTAATGGGTGAGATGCTAATGGAGTTGAGAGGGGTGCTTTTTGGAGCCCGGGGAAGTTTATCTCTTAGGGGTTACCTAGCTTTTCTCAAAGAGTTTGGTTTATCGTGGGTGATGGAATAAGAATAAGATTTTGGGAGGATGTTTGGGTTGATGATTCTTCTTTACCTCTTGTTATCTTGGGAACTGGATCGCATCTATGGCTCAATCATACTCTTTTTCGATTTTGTAGCAATCTTAATTATAGAGAACGTTTGGAGTTATGTGTTCTTTGTTCTATGCTCAATAATGTTTCTTTGACTAAAAATTCGGTAGATAGGAGGTGTTGGAGTAGTGATCCAACAAGTGTTTTCTCATGTACATTTTTTTTCAATAAGAAACAAAACACTTTTATTAATAATAAAAGTTAGGAAATACAAAACCAAAAAAGGTGGACAAGTAGTCCANAAAAAAAGGCAATTATAAGCTACAGTTTTTACTAAATTATCCAAGGTGATTGTTTTCTGATTCAGTTGAGTTTGGACTTCTGATGACTGTTTTGCCTCTTAGAGCTGTGAGGACTTTGTTCGAACTTCCAAAGAGGGTACCAGCAGGAAGTTGTTAAGCACAATGAGGTGAGATCTTTACTTCATCTTTATTTGGAACTTCATTCAGGTTTGTGACTTAATCCAAAAGATGTATGGAACGTTAGGACTTTCAATCAAGACAACTCTATCTCTTCTTTCCCCTTATTTCATGTCTCTATGACACATCTTGGCTTCCCAGGATGCCTTGGGGAGGAATCTAAATAACATTTGGAAGAGGGAGATAAGGTTGCTCTCCAATTAGAAATGGAGGGCTCAGGATTAGGAAGTTGAGGATATCCAATCAGGCTTTACAAAGGAATGCAGATGGGGTTGAGAGGGGTACAAGTTAATGGGGGACGAGGAATGTAGCTTTGGTTGGGAAATGGCTATGGCGGTTCCCTTTGGAGCAAGATTCATTTTGGCCTTATGTTATTAGGAGCAAGTATGACTTACAACTTAATGGGTGAGATGCTAATGGAGTTGAGAGGGGTGCTTTTTGGAGCCCGGGGAAGTTTATCTCTTAGGGGTTACCTAGCTTTTCTCAAAGAGTTTGGTTTATCGTGGGTGATGGAATAAGAATAAGATTTTGGGAGGATGTTTGGGTTGATGATTCTTCTTTACCTCTTGTTATCTTGGGAACTGGATCGCATCTATGGCTCAATCATACTCTTTTTCGATTTTGTAGCAATCTTAATTATAGAGAACGTTTGGAGTTATGTGTTCTTTGTTCTATGCTCAATAATGTTTCTTTGACTAAAAATTCGGTAGATAGGAGGTGTTGGAGTAGTGATCCAACAAGTGTTTTCTCATGTACATTTTTTTTCAATAAGAAACAAAACACTTTTATTAATAATAAAAGTTAGGAAATACAAAACCAAAAAAGGTGGACAAGTAGTCCAACCCAAACATAAATCACAAAACTGAGACATTAAACATAAAATTACAATCCACTTGAAGCTATCGACCTTGCAATAATGAAAGAAAGAGGAATATTCTCAAATTCCTTAGAAACTAATGCTCAAAATGAAGCCAAGCAAGCAATGCAACCGATCCCATAGTCATTCTATTTCCAAATCCTCAAAGACAGAATAAATAAAGGAATTGAATAATCATCAATTAGAGTTACAAGAGAAAATACTAGAAGGATCACCCTGGTCCAAACCCTTTTATCCAAAGAATTTGGAGACAATGATAAATCATCGAGTAAAGGAATAAGCAATGACTAACCGGAAAGAAGTACAAAGAAACGGCAGAGGCAACGCATTTACCATGATCATAAAAAAGACGACTAAAAAAAAGGATGCTCTCCCGTCCAAATATCCTCCCAAAAACGAACTTTCGTTCCATCTCCCATAATAAACTTGACCATCTGAGAGAAACTAGGTAACCGCTAAGAAGTGAATTTCCATGGATTCCAAAAAGTACTCCTTTCAACCCCATTGGCATGTAACCCATATTTGCTCCTAATAAACACATGCCACAAGGAATCTTGTTCCAAAGAAAAACTCTAAAGTTATTTTTCAACTAAATCTGCATTTCTTTTCAACAAATTCCCAACGATAGACCTCCCTTAGCCCTAGGCCTAGACACAACCTCCTACCTAATCAAATGATCTTTTTCCTCTCCCCACTGCCCTCCCATAAAAAATTTCTTATCATCCCTTCAATCTTTCTTGTCACCAAACAAGGCATCTTAAAGAGAAAAGAAATAAATGGGAATACTAGCCAATACAGATTGCACTAGCATTAATTTACCCCCTTAGAAATAAATGTTTGCTTCCACTTATCCAATCTTTTCCCAATTCTCTCAATAACAGGGTCCCAAAATCTAATAGACATCGGATTATATCCTAACGAAAAACCTAAAAACTTCAATGGACACCCACCCACAATACATCTTAAATCCCTAGCTAATATCTCAATTTTTTCTTGACTCAAATTAATTCCCACTATTTGACTTTTTCCATATTTATTTTTAGCCCAAAAATCAAATCAAACACTTCCATAATGTACTCTAAATTCTTAAATTTCTCCTTATCATCCGAAAAAAAGAAAATCGTGTCATTTGCGAATTGAAAATGAGACACAGAGATTTTTTCCCTACCAATCATAAAACCCTCAACCAAATCACAACTTTTTGCCCTCTCTATGAACCTATTTAGCCCATCAACCACCAATGTAAACAAAAAAAGAGATAAACCCCAAACAACCATTAATCCATTGCCTCCATCCCCCTCCAAAACCTTTTGCTTCCATAACAAAATCCAAAAAAATTCAATCAACATAGTTATATGTTTTTTTCAAAATCAATCTTTAGAACAATGCCCTTTTTATCTTTTACTATATAATCTTTTACCACCTCATTGACTACAAGAGCCACATCCATTATATGCCCCCTTTAACAAAAGCCTCTTGATATCTTGCGATAGTATCACCCAAACACTCTCTAAACCTAATTGAGAGGACCTTAGTAATAGTCTTATACAAACTTGTCACTAAACTATATTCAAAGATGTGGTGTTTGAAATTGCATTGATCACCCCATTATAAAAAAATCCTAAAAAACTTTCATAAAATTATCCTTTATTTCATCTCACACACTTGATATATTGCCATAGTAAAACCATCCGAACTTAGAGATTTGTCCCTACTATATTCAAAGATAGCCTACTTAATCTCCACCTCAAAAGGCATCTCCAACCCTAGTGCCATCTTTTCATCTATAGGACACCATTGAATCCCCGTCAAAGAAGGTCTACATCTATCATTGGTAGAGTATAACTTAGCAAAGAACTCAAAAACCTCAATGTCTATCAAATCCTCATTCTTAATAATCCCGCCATAATCCTTTTCCAACTTGTTAACGATTTTCCTCAACTTATTGTCATTTGCCGCTCTATGAAAAAATTTAGTGTTATTACAACCTTCCGCCATCCACTTAACTCTAGATTTCTGTCACGCACTAATTTCCTCCTTAAACATAACCTCCTCAAACTTATTACTAAGATCCCTTTTTTACTTTCTCAACTTATCATCCACGTCTCCTCCTCCTTCTCTCTTATCACTTTCATCAATTCTATTTAAAATAATCCTTTTTGCCTCTTGAACATCCCCAAACTCTTCTTTGTTCTATGCTTTTAACTTATATTTAACAAACTCCAATTTTTTCATAAACCTATGACCCTCCCATCCTTGAACTTCACATTGTTATATCTATGTATGAAATGACTGTTCTTTACTACCCAATCATACCAAATTACTTATTTTCAAACCCGTGTGTATTGGAATTGAGTTATTCCACTAAGGTGTTGATGTTGACATCACATTATTTCCTTATTTTCAGATTAATTCAGACGGGTGTAGATGTTGTGTATAGTTGAAATGTCAATCTATGTTTTATTTAATGTTTTGAACATTTGTAAAGAGCATGTACAATGTAAAAAGCTTAAGTTTTATACTTCATTTGTAACAATGACTATGACTGAGTAAAGGTTGCTGTGGATCTTTTCGAGTTGTACGTTCTTGTTTATGATTTTATGTGGGTTTGGGCCGATTTTGTAACATGCTTAAATATTCTTAGGGCCATAATGTGCTCGCGCGATGCGGGGTGATGTACGTTACTGGTCTACTCAATCCGGGGTGTGACAACCAGTTTGATTATCCCTTATTTGTACTCCATCGAATTCCACATCATGACCACAAGAAAGTTTCATTTTCTCAAATAACTTCGCCACATCAACATAGAGATCGTCGAGTTGTTCTCCTGATTCATCTCTAAGGTCGCGATGGAGCAGCAAATCTGTAGAATTGCTTTTACCATTGTCATTGTCATTCAACTGTAGTAGAACATTACGAGCATCACAGTAGCCTTCTTCAACCTCCGAAATCAATTACCTCTATTCTTCGTCATTCCCAAATCCATCTCTAAAACCATCCCCGAACTCGGGTTTTTCTGTAAAACTCCATCGAATTCAGTATCAGATTGGACCCCTACACCCTTCTACAATCACCCTCGCTAGCCTTTCCAGGAAGTTAATCCCGTCTCTTGACAAATCTCTTGGGCTAATTTTCACTTGGGCTTTTCTTTTTAAATTCTCCTAGCCTCTTCCATTTATTTTTGACTAGGTTCAAACTTTCAGTTAAATTATCAAGTCGTTAGGTCTTGAAAGAACAGAGAGAGAAGAAGATTATGGAAGAGAGTAATGTGTTAGGGTTACACAGCTATATCCCTATATATATATATATATACATACTAGTCATTATCCGTGCCTGAAGGCACGATAGAACAAAAAATTCTAGTCTTAAAAAATCGATATCACTATATTAAATAATAATTTTTCTTGCCTTCATTTATTTGATTAAATCATTCAAAATTTATTTTTACCCATTATTTTCTTAAAGATATTGACAAAATTTTCTCAAAATATAAAATTCGATAAGTTTTTTTAACATGAAATTGGATAATATCTAAAATAATTATGTTAAATTATAAATTAATCAAATGTAAAATGGTTGAGTATGTGATAGAAATGAGTGATGTGATGGTTTTGGAAAAAAATGTATAGCAGTATAGGGGATAAAATTCAACTTCCTATGTGTTTTATTATATAGATTTGTATAGATATCTGGTAAAATTTCATCTAGATCCCCTGTAGTTAGGTTTAAATTCAACGACACCTCCTTCCGATTTTGAAATTTCGTTGTCACTCACTGTTAGTGATTCTCAAGTTACAACGTTAATGGCGATGATTGATTTATAGAAATATTCCCAAGTATTTTATAGGTAAATTTTATCCACACTCTTATAAATAAACCTAACTTTAATAATACTCCTCGTAAATAGACCTAACTTTAACAACACTCTCTCTTGAACAATCGAAACGATTGAACGATTAAAAATAATTTAAGAGTTAATGTGGTACGTTGGATCAAAACGATCTGAAACGTCAATAGCTCGAGACAGTTTGAAATAGCGTCGTCCGTTGGATGATGTCTTTTTTTGTCATAAAACGATCTCAGTCGCTCTTTGTCTCTTAAATTCAAAATCGTTTTACTTTATTATATATATATATATATATATAATCAAAAAGTACAAAAATTACCCTTAAGGGTTACATCCTAATATAACTCAACATAACGTAACATTTTCAACAAAGCCCAACCCATAATCCTTATTTTTTGACAATTGGGTTTTCTTCGATTGACCCTTATTGACTGTTATGCACACTATTTACCTTTGGCCCATATAATAGTCCAGAATTCTTTCTTTATTTCCTTCATTAAGGCGTAAATCTCCTTTTCCCCTATTAACGTCAGAGTCAAAATTTAAATCCCTTCCACCCAGCCCATAATCTTGGTATTCAACACCATTAGTAGTCTTAATTGCCTCATTTATTGGCAAAACCTTTCAACAAGAACTTTGATAGTAAGAACTTTACCATTGTAGCCAACATCCAAAGATGTTTGAAGAAAACCAATTTTAGGCTTATGAATACAAATTCTTGCTTGGAACAAATTTTCGCGATTTTCAGTTTGACAACCAACTTCAATAAACCCTCCACAACAATCATCAATCTTCTTAAACATTTCATGATGCCATAAATGNTATGAATACAAATTCTTGCTTGGAACAAATTTTCGCGATTTTCAGTTTGACAACCAATTTCAATAAACCCTCCACAACAATCATCAATCTTCTTAAACATTTCATGATGCCATAAATAAATGGAGGACCTCAACAACAATCCATCCTCCCAAAAACAAAATTCTGCTTCTAACTGCATTTGTTTCATGCCGCCCTCTCTGCAATTTCGCCTTGACAGCTTTTTGAAAATAAATAACTTCATTCTTGCACACTTCTTCAGCCATCCTCTTGTCATGGCATAAAAAAAATGGCTTTGTTAGTTTGAAAGGCTTGCAATTTAAAATCAAATTTCAGTACTTGAACTAGATCTTCTTGGATAGCTTTCCATGGATGAAATAAATTCTCCCTAATGCAAACAACTAANGCATAAAAAAAATGGCTTTGTTAGTTTGAAAGGCTTGCAATTTAAAATCAAATTTCAATACTTGAACTAGATCTTCTTGGATAGCTTTCCATGGATGAAATAAATTCTCCCTAATGCAAACAACTAATTCTCCATCTCTCCTCTTTAAAGATCACTTCATCCTTTTTAATGGCCTTCTGTTGAATCATATCCTCCCCCTCATTGTTTCCAATTCTTCTAACAACATCGACCCATCCCTTGCTCTTGTTGTCCAGAACCAGAGCCATACTTCCTGCTTCCATAGCTCCACACAACAGTTTCCCGAAAGCTTGCCAACCACTCTATTCAACTCCTTTAGGAATAATTAGCCATTTCCTCTTTTCAGTGTTCATCAATTTAGTGATTCTTATATATTCTCCAAATTGACTGGATTCAATCTCCATCCAAACACAAAAATCATTTTCCTATATTTCTAGAAGAATGCACCATTCCTCTTCCACTTCAGACCACCTTCTATTGATTCTCTTAACCACTTCACACATCCTCTATTCAATAATAGTGGAAAGGAACCAAAATGATTCCACTCTGTTATACTGATCAAATCCGCAGACGCCCCTTCAACATCTATAGAAAATCTTTTTTTCCCAATTTTGATGTCTATTGTCGTTGCCAAGAATGCTTTCAAAGAATGACACAATTGGTCGATTCATTGTTCTTTTGTTTGGGTACAAGTAGAAAGATGCCAATTTTCTTCAATTTCAGCTCCTTGAAGCTTGGATAATTGCTCATTATAAACTCAATTCTAATGATGTTTTCGAAGGAGACCCAATAATTGCCCCATTCCTCAATGATGTGTTATGTGTAGAGATGATAGTGAGAGTGTGTATCATTCCAAAATATAATTTATTTTGGGCCGATATTATCGAGCTGTGACCGAGTTGGAATCGAGTTAATTAAGTCTCACGATAGCAATTATTGTCAAGTCATGTGGCCATGAGAGGAAGGGAAGTTCCTTTGTTCCAGTGAAGACAACTTGTAGGGAAAAATCCCCTTTAGAAGTGGGTTCTCATTTAATGGACATTGGTCCTAATAGCAATTATGACATTCATGCATCATAACTTGAGGAGGGGTAAAATTTATCCTAGACAATGTTAAATACCATTCCTTGTTGTATTGTGTGGTGGCTACAGATATGAGAAGCCTCCTTTCTTCCTACTCTATTGGGTTTGGGATAGAGTATATCATGCTTGGTTTAATAGGATATCTGCTCGAGCGTTAGACACAGTGTAACAACGGGATTGCAATGAAAGAGTGAACAATATGAAGAGGATTTACATGCGGAGCATTCTAATCCTGACATGACCTGTTAATTAAACAAGTTACACTTGGGCCATTTAACATGACATGACTGCCACCCTAATTGTGGCCCCTACTTGTGAGCAAATATACAAGCATGACACAAAATAAAAAAAAAATGCACAAGCTGTATGGGAAGCAGTAATATTCATGTTTATTACTTAAAACCGACTGAGACACTCACCAAAACAGCTATCCAAAAGTTCATTTTTAGTCATTTCCATACATGGCTTATTCTAGTTTGCTATCTCACCACTGTCATTATTAAAAAGTATGTATTATTCAAAGAGCAAGGTAATACCAGGTCTAGTTGGCAAGATGAAGTATCAAGCTCCAGTGGTACAGAAGACGGAGGCTTCATACTAAGTGCAAAAATTGATGTTTCAACCTGCATGATGTGATTTTTAGCTAGACATGAGATTTGACTATATCATCATGTTTCTAAAGTGGCAAAACAAACATTATACCTCTTCAGCATTTCCACCACCATGGTCACCATTTATAGTTTGCCCATGATCGCCCATTACAAGAAGTAAAGTATTATGATGTAAGCCACCTGGTCCACTCTGGCTCTCCAGCACTTCAACAACTTTCTGAATTAAACAAATGGGTTAGAACACTACCATTGAGGGAAGAATGGCAGCATACTCACTAGGTGAACCACAAAGAGAGTAAAATCAAAGAAAGATTAAGGCTCAGTATGGCATTACCCAGCCAGACCCACCAATGCAGGATGTTGAGAGAATTGATTGTATATGTGAAAGAAGGTATAGTTCCCCCAATCCCCACCCCCCAACCCAAAAAAATACGCGGGTGGTAAAAAAAAGGATTGAAACTATCCAACAACCACCCCTGCATATGGGGGCAGGTAATACGAGAAGGTAAATGCCAATAAAATCCATGCTCGGATTTAAAAAAGAATGGCAAAAAGAAAGATAATACATCTAGATGAAAGGAAGTCATTTTTGAACATCCAACCAAGAGTGATCATGAATAGAGAACCAACATTATTGTCATATATTCATTTGGGAAGCATTACAGAACCAGTGTGGGACAAGCTGTAACGCTCACCCAAATGTAACCATGAAATCATATTGTAATACTCAACCCAAAACCAATTGCCATTGCATGGGGAGGTACACAAGGTTTATGACTGCGGGCAAAACCTTAATTAACAGAATTAAGGTTGTTCTATGGTCTAATTATGGTATGAAGGATTTAAATAAACAAGATTTGTGATTGAGAAAGAAAAATTATAGTCAAGGGTGGTGTAGGAATTCTTTTGGTTGAGGTTAAGGGCAGCCTTTGGTCTAAAAGACATATTAACTGGTTGCAAGATTTTTTTTACACAGAAAGGGAGAAAAATTTAGGTTTTTGATATTATAATAAATTACCATTAGGGTTTTGTTGGGGCACAGGAGTTAAAGGTTCAAGGCTATGGATGAAACCAGATGTTGAGAAGTCCGGTAGGGATATTAGGTCAGCTGGAAATTTGGAATTAGTTTAAAAACCATAAAATTTGTCCAAGGGCTTCTAGGAGTTGGGCATAAATTTTAATGCATTTTTACTAATTAAAGCAAAAGACGTATAGGAATTTCACTAAAGAAGAGGACTTCTTACACTCTGCCTTGAAAGAAATCGATGATTATCGATTACTATGATCTATTAGTCTAACCATTCACATTAGAGGAGTAGACATAAGATTTACACATCACTAAATGCTGATTTTCTTTAACAGTTCATGTACATATCACAATTACTTGTAACATATTCCCAACGTGTACATAACCTACTTTTTGCAAAATGGTTATATCCACCTGTTCATGTCGTGTTTGTGTCTATGCTTCTTATCTTAATAGAAATGGCCAAAGGGCTAAGGAAAGTTTTGAATTGAGAAAAATCTTATTTTATTTCCTATTCATCCCCATCTAAGACGTTTTCCAATGAACATTCTTGCAATACCCTTGCTTTATAAATTTACAAAGCTTCTATAACTAAAGAAACAGAAATCTAAAGCCACAGCTGGATAAACCACCCATGGAAAAGAAAAAAAAGGAGGGNTAAATTTACAAAGCTTCTATAACTAAAGAAACAGAAATCTAAAGCCACAGCTGGATAAACCACCCATGGAAGAGAAAAAAAAGGAGGGGGGGGGTTCCATGTTACACCCTACCATTGGAGAAACTCCAACTTTTCCAATTTCCTCCTTGATATTTGTTAAGATTCAAATAGTCCATAAGTGCTATTCAAAAAAATTCCACAAAACATACCTCCAAAATCCCATTGTATTGCTCCAACTTTTCTACCATGGGAGTTGAATCGACACCAAATACATGCCCAGCATGATCCTGGACAAAACAAAACAACATCAAACATTATAAGATTTAGAACGAATACAAAATACGTGTGCCTCATGAGACCTACAAAGCAATAAAGCAAGTAGGAAAAGAGATATCATATTGCTCAATCTTCAATAAAATTAGATATCATATTGCTCAATCTTCAACAAAATTAGTGACAAAGGGAGAAAAAAAGAATACTTTGATGATGGCAATGATGATGATACTGATAAAGAAGCTATTCTTATTTTACACATAAAGAGGCGGCGGCAAAAGATAACATGTTGGCTGATCTCCAATGAAATAAAGGCAAAATACAAAGAAGTTTCGACATGCTGCGCGAGAACATATACATCTATAAATGCATTTACTTATGTACGCACTATGAACGTATGTTCGTGGATTTGTTTATGTCTTTCACTGAACCTTTTCACAGTTTGATTAGAAAATACCTAGCTTAAAGAAATCCTAACCAAAATTATCAAAATCTTTTTTTCTCACACGACAAATGAAAATAGCAAACATACCACACCAAGAAAATGAGCAATAAGAACATCCCAATCTTCTTCGTACAAGGAAGGGAGCAAATGCTTGATGCATCCATCATCTACCTGGCAAGAAAATATCATGAAAATTTAGTAAAGTGAGCAAAAACATGTAGCAAATTACTTAAACAGAAGTTCCACAAAAAACACTTCTATTTTCAATGCATGACAATATGTTGGAATTTAGTTGCATACCGTATGAAGATCTTTAACGTTAAAGGAGGGAAAGGGATAACAACTATTAAAGTGATGAGGAAACAATTGCAACCACGTATCATCCCCCATCATCACTACTCGCTTTCCATTTTGAACCAACTGTGATGGGGATTATATATTAGAACTCTTACAACTGGTGGAAACAAAGTATATTAAAAACTGCATATAGAAAAAAAAGTGTCTATACAAACACTAACAAGACGAGGACCAGCTATCAACCAAACCTGATAAACTATGTTATCCTCAATAATTGCTGGAGCACCAAAGCTATTCCCTACGTCAATAAAAGTAGGAAGTCCACCAGTTGTCAACCCCTGAAATGGTAACAAGGGCACCAAAACCCATTTGAAGTCAAACAGTCACGTCTCATTAAACTTGAACTCCGGGTTGTGCATGCCTTCATATCTGGACATATCCGAAATTTAACCCATTTACGAGAGCTTTATGTCTAGGGGAATACAAAAAATAACAGGAGAATTTGATGCATATCAGAATTGGATCTACAACTGGAAACTGTATGCAATAACTTTTTTCGGAAGATATGCAAACTTCAAGGCATTTATTGCTCATTTAGATGACAGGAATTTTATTGAAAACAACTAGAGTGGGGATGTTTTCCAAGCACAAAAGGATAGAAAAGGAAAAGTACATAAAAACAACCAAACATGATGGGAGATAATGCTCAGACCAAAGTCAGAATAGAGCATACTTGGCAGCAGGTAGCACCCTCTTCCCAAAAAGGGCCACCCCATTAGCCACACATGGGATAATAGTTTGATTATATTCACAATATCATATATGTACAGTTTGAGCCAACTAGAGACATAATCCGAGTCTGCCTTAATGGTAATATCCATATCTTGGTTCCTTATGAGTCAAGACCCAAAAAGAGAGTAGAGAGTATGTTCAAAGCCAATTATCCAATAACCCCCAAATAAATTAACCTCCGACAACAATAGAAGAATAGTGAGACCTATCCTACCTGATGCATGTTCATCAAGGAGCCAACAATTTTCTAACCTCAGCTGTAATCATTAAGAGGTATCCAGTAAGCATGATTCAAGTGTGTATTAGGATACGAAGAGCACATGAATATGTCCTCAGTAATACTGGTGAGAAGAAAGCTCTCAAATAAGAAACTAACATTTAGAGTTACAATTGAATAATTCTCAGACAGCATGAAAAGAAAGTGTTCAGGTTGTCAAATATGTTTTTTTTTTCCTTAAATGATACAATGAAAAAACACTAGCTTTTCCAAAAACTGCCAAAACTGTTATTTAGGAAGGGTGGACATCTTGAAGAGAGGCATTCAAAAAACAAGGTGCCTCCTTAGATTAACTTTGTTGCTTGCATGACTCCTTGATAGAAAGTACTTACAATTGACAATTAATCAGAGCAGGAAGTTAATTCTATCGAAGGTGCACGTGCAGATGAGTCGAAAAGAATTCAAATTATCAACTGTTATGCTATCTGGTAGCAAGGGACATGCGGAATACGCTTTCTCTGGATGTGCATTATGCATGTACCTACTTGAAACAATTTACATGTTGGACTAGTCTGTGTACTTACAATCCTGCAAATTGAGCATGTAAAGCCAGACGAATTTTCACTTCCTTTGACTAGGTCCAAAGAGGAAACATCGACAGGGAATATTTGCCAGTTAAAAGAAGAAAGTCACATTGTTCACCTTCAAACGTTGCAAACTGGTCGTAGGTGGATCAGCAACAGCTTTGAAAATCTTAGCTGATGATCCTGATCTAGATGCCAATTCATGTAGCACAGTTAACCTGTCCATCCATGGTTTTTTTGCTGCGAAATAGAAATTGCGCGAATAATAACAGTCAGAGAACAATTAACTTTAGAACAAAATATTTCAAACAAATAAAATTGGGGAATAAGTCAAAACCAATATGGGTAAAAACTGATTCAGAATGATAACATAGTACTTACCTTCAAAAAAGGTACTGGGTGCAACAAAATCGAACCTGAAATAAAAAAGAACATAAATATACTAACAAAAAACACATAACAGGAATTGATCGATATGTCTGTATTCGTTTAATCCATTAATTGAAGACAAACGATAGGGTATAAATGAGAATGCCTTAGAGCATCAAGAACAATGATTACGAGGCGATCAACAATCGGTTCGGTCCAATAACCCAAATTTGGATTGGTGTGATTGAGATTCGGACTATGATTGGATCGAGGGTGAAAAGGATTTTCTTGCTCTTGTTCTTCTACTTGGGCGGCGGAGGAGGAGGAGGGAGGATGGATGCAAGGAGATTGGAAAACATCTGAACTCTGACTGTAATGGGGAAGCTCCGTCCGAGTAAGTAGGAAACCTCTTGTGAACAATAGAATGGCCACGGTATGAAGAACCAATATCACCAGTAACACCGAGAACGCCCATATTCGGCCACCGTACTTCCCACTCATCGTAGCCGCCGCCAACATTCCTCGGCCCCTATTCGCGTGGGAGAGCATGGTGCCGGTCGGCTAGTCTGCTGTTGCGCAGCAAAGAGCACAAGCTGAAAAGTCCGTTTCCTCCACCTAAGGGTTTATTACACTGCCGGTGGCCGAAAGATCTGTCTCATTTTTTTTTTCAAATATTCCAATTGCATCGTTCTAATCCTTAAAATAATACTATTAGTTATAATTAGGTATGTAATTAAAAAAAAATTGAATAATGATAATGGACACAAAAAAATCAAAAATTGAATATGAATACATGCTAAGTTGGAAGCCCAAATTACATACTTAACACACATTTTGTAGACATGCTCAACAAAGTATTATTCATATAAAAATTCTCGTGTAGACCAATTTTAATAAAAAAATGAAGAAAACTCAACTTTAATAATCAAAATTTCATAAATTTAAACTAAAAACACATAAAATTCATATGCTTGAAATTACATACCTAATTATAACTAATAGTAGTACCCAAAAATCTATACTACTAATAAAAGTACCTTAAGTGAAAAACTTTTGATTCTCTATTTTATCCTTATAAAAAATTTTAATTACCACATTATCTTTTCATAGTTAAATATTTAAATTACAATCATGTCTTTATGTATTTAAATCTCTAATTTACCCTATAATATTTCTTTTACTTCTCTATTATCTATGTATAAATATCAATATCTATAAAAAAAATTAATTGACTACATTACTCTTAAAAAAGTATATGCATCATTATAGTTTTTAATAAAGAGTTCAAAAACTTCATCAATAAATCATACTTTTTTCAAATATATAGATAACATTATGACTATATACATGTATTTTTTTTTCCATCTATACTACTATTAAAGAATGAAACTTTTGTCTTAGCATGAAAATTTTTTGATTAATTATTTTACTGTTATAAAATATTTTAAATAACACACAATCTTTCAATATTTGAATATCTAAATTGCCATCATAAAATTATTTGTTTAAATCTCCAAATTACCCATAATATCTCTTTTAATTATTTATTTACTATGTATAAATATCAGTATCTATGAAACTTTTTAATTGACTACGTTACATTTAAAATATATAAGCATTACTATAATTTTTAATATTACTCATTGCAAATATAAAGATAACCTTATCCTTACATATGTGTATTTCTTTCATCCAAAAATTCAAACATTTAATTTCTAAGATAAAAAATAATCTTTTATATAATTTTTTTAAAAATAATTTATATTAAATCAACATAATTCTTCGATTACATTAAAATTTTTATATTTTATTAAGAGTTTATATAAAAAAATTATATTGTATTTTTAAGTATAACTTGAAATTTAGAATTTTAATATTTTTTTAAAATATATATTATAGAGTAGTATATTATATTTTAAGGTGAATAGTACTTTTAGTCCCTAAAATATGCATGTTTTGTTAGTTTGGTTTTCGTTGCATCAAATTTATCAATTTAATCCTTAAAATATTTAATTAATGTTTAAATAATCCATATATAGACAATCTATTAAGTTTTTTTATAGAAGTGATCACGTGATGCTATTTGTAGTAATAAAATATGATTATTTAATGAATTATAAGTTGAAATATCATCAAATGAATTTCAAATAAATTATTTTTATCTTTTTCTTTAATACTTAAAACAATGATNCTCCCCATGCCACATAGGACCTTCGACTCCCATGATCTGCATCAGTTGGACAGTTAACATCAATAATATAAATTCCTTGAATAAAAAATAAAGAAGACATGGCACTGTAATAGTTTTTTCAACCAGAGAAATGAAGATAATTAGGGCATTAAAGTGTCGGTATTAAACGACAAATACATACAACATATAATACAAACTACTTTAGAAAAATATCAACAAAATAGCCCAATTATTTCACAATCAGCATGTTATCTAATACTAAAAAATCAAGTACTGACTACTGAGAATTGATTCACAAAAATCAACATTCAACTTTACAAAAAGATTAAATATCAACAGAGTAGCCCAATTATTTCACGGTCAATATGGTAACTAACACTAAAAAATCAAGTACTGACAACTGATAATTGATTCACAAAAATTAAGATTTAACATTACAAAAGGATTAATAAAATCCTAAGTTTATCATCAAAATTAAACAACGCTAAATAAAGTGGTAACATTTTTCAAATACAAATTTTTGAGAAAACACAACTTGTTTGCTTACTTCAGCATTTTAAGCATATTCTTCATTGCTACTTGCACCACATTCACTAACCAATTTTCTCTTTCTATGCTGCCAAATAAATTGAAGGAAACACCGTGAAGTTGTAATTTTCGAGTTCAACAAGACACATGGTTTAGGGTTTAGGGTTTTAGGGTTTAGGGTTTAGGGTTTAGTGTTATTCCTAAGATTGTTAGTCAGGAGGATAATGAGAAATTGNGGTTTAGGGTTTAGGGTTTAGGGTTTTAGGGTTTAGGGTTTAGGGTTTAGTGTTATTCCTAAGATTGTTAGTCAGGAGGATAATGAGAAATTGACTGCTGAAGCCACTTTGGAGGAATTGAAAGATGTTGTTTTCTCAATGGCAACAGAGAGTGCTCCAGGGCCGGATGGTATGTCTGGTAAGTTTTTTTAATTTGCCTGGGATGTTATTAAAGTAAATGTGGGAAAAGCTATAAATTTTCTGCTTAAAGGAGGTATCATGCCCAAATCTGTGAATTCTACCTTGCTAGTATTGATTCCCAAGAAAGAGGATCCCACTTCATTTTCTANCCAAAAAAAAAAATACTTTCAATCACCTCAAAACCCTCTCTCCCCATGCCACATAGGACCTTCGACTCCCATGATCTGCATCAGTTGGACAGTTAACATCAATAATATAAATTCCTTGAATAAAAAATAAAGAAGACATGGCACTGTAATAGTTTTTTCAACCAGAGAAATGAAGATAATTAGGGCATTAAAGTGTCGGTATTAAACGACAAATACATACAACATATAATACAAACTACTTTAGAAAAATATCAACAAAATAGCCCAATTATTTCACAATCAGCATGTTATCTAATACTAAAAAATCAAGTACTGACTACTGAGAATTGATTCACAAAAATCAACATTCAACTTTACAAAAAGATTAAATATCAACAGAGTAGCCCAATTATTTCACGGTCAATATGGTAACTAACACTAAAAAATCAAGTACTGACAACTGATAATTGATTCACAAAAATTAAGATTTAACATTACAAAAGGATTAATAAAATCCTAAGTTTATCATCAAAATTAAACAACGCTAAATAAAGTGGTAACATTTTTCAAATACAAATTTTTGAGAAAACACAACTTGTTTGCTTACTTCAGCATTTTAAGCATATTCTTCATTGCTACTTGCACCACATTCACTAACCAATTTTCTCTTTCTATGCTGCCAAATAAATTGAAGGAAACACCGTGAAGTTGTAATTTTCGAGTTCAACAAGACACATGGTTTAGGGTTTAGGGTTTTAGGGTTTAGGGTTTAGGGTTTAGTGTTATTCCTAAGATTGTTAGTCAGGAGGATAATGAGAAATTGACTGCTGAAGCCACTTTGGAGGAATTGAAAGATGTTGTTTTCTCAATGGCAACAGAGAGTGCTCCAGGGCCGGATGGTATGTCTGGTAAGTTTTTTCAATTTGCCTGGGATGTTATTAAATGAGGTATCATGCCCAAATCTGTGAATTCTACCTTGCTAGTATTGATTCCCAAGAAAGAGGATCCCACTTCATTTTCTGNTAAAATACCCTAATTCATAAGTATTCCATATTTACAATAACACTTCCAAAAAAAAAATACTTTCAATCACCTCAAAACCCTCTCTCCCCATGCCACATAGGACCTTCGACTCCCATAATCTGCATCAGTTGGACAGTTAACATCAATAATATAAATTCCTTGAATAAAAAATAAAGAAGACATGGCACTGTAATAGTTTTTTCAACCAGAGAAATGAAGATAATTAGGGCATTAAAGTGTCGGTATTAAACGACAAATACATACAACATATAATACAAACTACTTTAGAAAAATATCAACAAAATAGCCCAATTATTTCACAATCAGCATGTTATCTAATACTAAAAAATCAAGTACTGACTACTGAGAATTGATTCACAAAAATCAACATTCAACTTTACAAAAAGATTAAATATCAACAGAGTAGCCCAATTATTTCACGGTCAATATGGTAACTAACACTAAAAAATCAAGTACTGACAACTGATAATTGATTCACAAAAATTAAGATTTAACATTACAAAAGGATTAATAAAATCCTAAGTTTATCATCAAAATTAAACAACGCTAAATAAAGTGGTAACATTTTTCAAATACAAATTTTTGAGAAAACACAACTTGTTTGCTTACTTCAGCATTTTAAGCATATTCTTCATTGCTACTTGCACCACATTCACTAACCAATTTTCTCTTTCTATGCTGCCAAATAAATTGAAGGAAACACCGTGAAGTTGTAATTTTCGAGTTCAACAAGACACATGGTTTAGGGTTTAGGGTTTAGGGTTTTAGGGTTTAGGGTTTAGGGTTTAGTGTTATTCCTAAGATTGTTAGTCAGGAGGATAATGAGAAATTGACTGCTGAAGCCACTTTGGAGGAATTGAAAGATGTTGTTTTCTCAATGGCAACAGAGAGTGCTCCAGGGCCGGATGGTATGTCTGGTAAGTTTTTTTAATTTGCCTGGGATGTTATTAAAGTAAATGTGGGAAAAGCTATAAATTTTCTGCTTAAAGGAGGTATCATGCCCAAATCTGTGAATTCTACCTTGCTAGTATTGATTCCCAAGAAAGAGGATCCCACTTCATTTTCTAACTTCAGGCCCATAAGTCTATGTAATTTCTTATATAAGATCTTCACAAAACTTCTGAACACAAGATTGTCCTCATTACTTCCTGCTTTAATTTCTGAAGAGCAACATGGTTTTGTCAAAGGGAGAAATTGGATATGATGAAAGCATATCCAAGAATGGAATGAGATTGTTTGGGG